TTCTTACTGCATGATTTAGAATTTTACTGGAATCGACGAGATTCGTTTGGATTCGCATAGTATTCGACAAATTCGAACGTCCTTTTCAATAATCGTCGGTAATCTCCAATTAAAATACAATATATTCAGAATCAAGAAATTTACATTTTCTTATGTTAATTGATGAATATTCGGAAGATACCTAGTATATTCTCTACATTACAAATCGGGTATTCGAGAGTGAACAGCCCCTCGTAATTGTGTTATAAGTTAATTATACAGTTATTAAAATTAAATAAATGTAATAAAAATTATATATTTTATTATTAAAAAATTCAATTTGACCAACGAGGTTTTTGATTCTTAATAATAAATTGTTTAAGGATTATAAATATATTTTAATTTTTACAAAACTTTAATTGTATAATTATTTTATTTATGATTGATTAAAAAATTAATATCTCTATGTATGTGAAATATTTTAATAATGAAATATATAATTTTTATTACATTAATTTCATTATTTTTGCCTTTTTGTGAACATAAATTATTTGTATAACGCGAAAGATATCATAATTGTGTTATAAGTTAATTATACAGTTATTAAAATTAAATAAATGTAATAAAAATTATATATTTTATTATTAAAAAATTCAATTTGACCAACGAGGTTTTTGATTCTTAATAATAAATTGTTTAAGGATTATAAATATATTTTAATTTTTACAAAACTTTAATTGTATAATTATTTTATTTATGATTGATTAAAAAATTAATATCTCTATGTATGTGAAATATTTTAATAATGAAATATATAATTTTTATTACATTTATTTAATTTTAATAACTGTATAATTAACTTATAACACAATTATGATATCTTTCGCGTTATACAAATAACTTATGTTCACAAAAAGGCAAAAATAATGAAATTAATGGTGCCCGGAAAGCGCCTAATCAAAATCCTCTGTTTCGGCCCTGGCGCACGAACGAAAGAGGCAGCGAAACGGGAAAATCGAGCGATTGACGGTCGAATTTTTTTTCGTGCACGCTCGTCCTTTTTTTTCAATTACTGGCAAACCCGTCAACATTTTTTATTGTTCTTGGAATCAATGGAAAGCTTAGATTTCAAGGAATAATTATGTTAAAGGACAATTTTTTTCGTCGATTTTCCTGGACCATGCAAGAGGTTAAAGTCAAGGTAGGAAATAAGCAAAAAATTACAATTATTTTTTCAACTTTGTAACATGATATATTTAAACCTATTTAAGCAATCTCATTCAAATAGGTACCATTTTTTTCGAAATTTAATAAGCTTTCCAACGCTATAAGGGAAAAGTCTCTACGTTAATTTCTCTCAGAGTTATCTTTATTTTCACGCGAGTATGTTTTTCAATGACTCGCGGTGTAAGCGTTCGCACAATTTCGGACGGTAGTGTAATACAACAATGTTGCAACCTACATTAAAACTAAATTCCCAAAAATTAGTAATGTAACATTGTTACAACAATGTTACAATTTTGTTACGTACGAAAGAAATTATTTAGTAATTTCAAACAATTAATATCAAAAGTATTAACACCATTAATTCAAAACACCGTGGGCTTTTGAGATGGCCCAAATTTCTAAGGCACTCGGAGGTTTAGACTGCCAAGGCCTGAAGGGCCTTGTATTTAGAATGAGATCGATTTATTCCCTAGTTGCCGAAAATCTCTATAGAAGGAGAATTTTTCTCGGTTATGCACTTGAATTATATTTCTTATTAGGAAAGGAAATAGTAAAAGAGAAACTATTTTAACAATTTTAGGTTTATTTATCTATTGAAAGTTACAGCGATTTAAATACCGAAGTACATCTCTCAAACAATATTTTAGGAAAAAGGTTGAAAGGAAAAGATTTAAATAATAACGATACAATTTTTACCTTACATTACCGCCGAAGATGGTATCTCCTCGACGGGCGTAATTCTCTCTTCGCGCACTTATTTACGCGATTGTCGTTTGCTCACTTAATATCTAGGTTTTTCCAAACGTCGCATACGAAACGAACGCGGGCCCTATGCGCACTCGGTCGGTCTCTCAACTGGACTTCCCAAAAATTAAATTACTTTAAAATTTTAAGAAAACCCTTTTCGCACATGATTCTAAAACAGCCCTAGTACACTTCGGAGTGTATTTGATTTTATTTTCGTCCGGCCGAAATTAATCGTATAAGCATACAATCAATTTCGGGTCTCTGGTACCGGACGGGAGCGCGTTGGTTTTTTAATTGGTGGAGGCACGGGTGTTATCCCGTCTTTCACCAAGACCGTACTAAACATCGAATTATGGGCCAGAGACACCTCGTCGATTCGCTTAGGGATGTTAGGTAGGAAATTAATGCTGCATTGGAATTTTGCCAATAAGTGGAAATGGTAGCAGGGGCGTTGTCCCTGTTGCCATGCGGTTTTTAGCTGACTTCGCTTTTGACAGGAAGTCGCTAAAATAATTTTTAGAATTGGAAATAAAATTATTTCCAAATAATAAAATGTTGCATGTTATCCTTGTTAGGATAACTCATCAAAAAATGGGAATTTTCCTTTTCAGGAAAATTCCAGGTGCATCCTTGAATGTACCCTAAAAATACATTCTTTTAATTTTCAATACAATTCCGACATTGGGTGAATTATTTTTAATATTATTTCATGCCCAATGTTGATTCGGAATCGGAGCCTGCGAGTGAATCAAAATAAATACATGTGCTCTTATTCCGACCACATGTAGCATGGTTTGTAGGTTTGAATGTGACGAAAGAGGCAAGAGTTACGAAAGGCTGTGAGTGAGAAGCATAATAATATATTGGTGTCTTTGAGTATAGCGAATCCTGTGGAGTCTCCAGTCCACAATTAGTATGTGTGTCTGTAGCGTATAAGACCAGCGAGTGCGAAAGAGTCAACGTCAATCCCATATGCGACAGCCACTAACTAGAAAGAGACGCGCAACTATAGTAAATGCAAAAGAGAAACTCATGCGGCTGAGAGAGAACGCGAGTGGTGGCCCCACTAACCGGCGCGGAATATTATTTTAATTTCAGTTTTGATAATTACAATTTCTAAATTTTGGTTCAATAAATTCCAAATTTCATAGTTGATTTACGTCGATGTAACTATTTACATAGATTAAATAATAATAATGATAATAATAATATTTAGGTATAATCATGCGAATTCATGCGTATCTATTCATCCCATTACATTCTAAGGAGTATAGGCATGGATACCTGATGGTCCGCGACGCTATACAGGTTATCCAGATTACCATCGGTGTTTATCATTCGGGAACATTGCGGCAAGGTCTATTGGATTTAGAATATTAAACAGAACTAAAATTTCGAAACCGCAACCTTCCCAAAAATTCAGTTCGCAAGTTTACAGGTTGTTTATAGGTTAGGAACTTTGCGGTTTGTTTACCTCAACTCAGAAAGACCTCGCAAGCCTCGCTTTCATACTCGCAAAATTCCTAATTGGTAACTTCGCTGTTTATGAATTGGGAAGTTTGCAACAAGGAAGACGAAGCCTGCGGCGTCATTCGGAGTCCGAATATCATATTTGTATAATTTAATTTTCATTAGTTCCTGAGTTATTCGCGAAAAACATCAGGAAGCTTACCGCAAGGTTCCGATGGTACTGAAATACGTGGGAACCCTGTACGTGCGCTCCTTCACGTTGTCGCGGGTCATCGAACGTCCAATTTATAAACTAATAATAATAATATAAGAATATGGTTAATGACCCGTAGCGAGTTCAAGAGCTGAAAAGAAATATTTTTAATTTCGAAATACATTTTATTTCTAATTTCCCAATTGCATTTGAGCGGAGGTATAGTTCACTATACCGGGGATGCTGACGCATGGAATTCCATAGCGATAGCATGAGCCTTGGACTTGCTGTTCGAGAAATAAAACGAGTCCAGGGCAATTAAAATATAATTTAGCAAATAATAATTTGAAATTAAAATATTAAATGGTAAAAAAAATAATTAAATTTATTGTAAAGGTTCGACGTTACAATTTTATCCCTATCACTAAATTTTTAATAAAATTAATAAAGTAACATTGTTACATAAATGTTACAATTCCGAAATTAAGTTTAAATAAAATAAATAATGCAACATTGTTACATCAATGTTACAATTTTATAATTAAATTCCAAATAAGTGGTTGTTGTAACAATGTTACACTAGCGTTGCTTTCCCCATATAAACAATATTTTGGTTTCTAATTTTATTGCAGAGTTGATATATATATATATATATATATATATAAAGAGAATATTCTTGCTCGGAATAGTAATTAAAAGAAATTAATATTTAAAATAGTCTGAAATCTCTGAAACACATAAAAAAGAATATTCTAATAATTATTGCCTTCTTTTTCTAGCATAAAAAATTTAACTGTTCTTTACCCGAGTTTGTTTCCTTTGCGGAATAGAGTGATGACTTCATTCAACATTATCTGCATGAATCAAATTTCCTTTACACCTGGTAGCAAGGCGAGTTATCCTCAAAGCATTCCCAGCAATATCAAAATAAAAAGAAAAGAATTTCAAAAAAAAATGAAGTTAGATTATTTTAATTAGTTTTGTTATTAAAAAAAATTAATTTTTTTAAATTGTTAGGTATTACCGTAACATTACTCATGAACACATTTTTTATAAATCCCAATAAATATTTTATCATTTTTTATTGTTTAAATAACATTTTAGTGACCTTTGTGTTTCTAACGCTTTTTCAACGCTTTTCTGTTCAAAACGTGTTTGATCCATCCGCTAAGGGAGCGAAATCGGTGAGGTTCACTTGGGTAGTGTTCCTTGTCAGTGTAATCTCTGGGAGAATGAAATTGTTTTGAAAATATCTAATTTACCAATATTTTTATTTTTTTGTACTTCAGATTAAATTTATTTCAAGTTTAGTGGTTAATTTTTCCTGTTTAGATAAAAGAGGTACCTAATACATAATGTTTATTGTATGAAAAAGATATACTACCTCAGCTCGATTGAAACCTGAAATTTTGCAGAAGGTTTCGTTGCAATAAACGATTGGAAAATCAACTATTTGAGCATTGGCCAGTAAGAAACTGCTATCAGCTGAAACCAGAAAAAAAATATTTATTACTATATTTAGCACATGACACAATAAATTTATAGTTATTGTAATTTATATTTTTGAATTAACAACATAATTAATAATAATGAATTGATTAAAAATTAATTACTAATAAATAACGTACTAAAATTTTTTAGACTTTTGTTGAAACTCGTTTACAATAAAATGGTGTAATATAGTAAAATCAATACTAATACCTTGGTGAGAAGGATGGTACTGTATGGATAGAAAAAGTTAAATGTGTTTTAATTCTGTAACTCATTTTTGGACATCGAGGAAGAGCAGAAATATTTATTTCCTGTCGGATTGTGCTAACTGAATTCTAACCGAAAATTAAGTAATCTTGTTTAATTAATTTTACGAGGTCTTAAATAATAATTAAATAATCTAATAATAATAATAAGTTAATAATCATTAAATAATCTTCGTCGTAAACCCCGGCAAGAAGCCTGGAATAGAAAAGAATTAAAGTTATCTCATATTCGTATACTAAATTGAAAAATTTTAATTCCATTTAATACCTGATTTTTCCACTTTTTCGAAGTAATCGAAATAAGATAGATGGCCAACAAATGAATTTGTTTGTAAAGTTTAATAAATTCAAACGTGAAGAATCAGAAATTGAACATATATTGTCTCAAAATTTTGTCAGGTTATGCGTTGAATATAAAATAGCCGCCTTTACTTTTTTATGGGAATAATGTAGATTATGAGTAAAAAAATAATTCAGATTTTTTTCAATAAATAAATTATTAATAAAATGTTTTTTTATTCATTCAAATATATTCTATTTATATTCTATTTCATATTGCACGCTTTACGAAAAGGGAATTAAAAGGGATTCAAGTTTGCTGATGTCTATTTCTTACATAGACTTACGAAATAACAAAAAAATCAGGTATTAAATGGAATTGATTTTTTAAATTCTTTTTAATTAATGCCTTCTTGCCGGGACCTTGAAGTGATCCTACATCTGCAACATCTTCCAGAAGAAAATGTATGAAAGATAGTGAAACGACAGCAACGGATATTAAATTTGATTTAAATCAACATTAGATACAAATATGAATAAATACCTATCTGAAAATTATCATAATATATCCTAGCCTACAGTTCCTGATAACGTAACAGCAGATGGTTACACACGCCAACAAAATTTGATTCAATTTACTTTCCAACAATCAGACAACATTTTTCCGAAGGTTTTCGACGTGCTGAATCCGAATCCGGCCTCAAAATTCACCATGCACGTCAGGTTTTCGAGTTATTCTAACCTTAAAGTGCAAAAATCCGTTTTTTAATTACATTTGAGATGCAACATCAAGAAACAATTTTTTTCCAAAATGTCAATATTGCGTCTAAAAGTGCTATTTTTCCCCCTTTAAACCCCATTTTGAAAATTTAAAAAATCTTCATTCGTCTCTGAGTAATCGTTCATTCAATTTTCTGAGTATGGCGAATTCTTCGATATTTAAAAAAATCGTCCGCCATATTGAATCCATTTTGAATTTTGATAATCTGTCATCGAATTCGTATTCATCGACCCCAAAAACACTCAAGTATCAAATTACAAGCAAATACAATCAATTTTTAAAAAATCGTCATATTGAATCCGCCATTTTGAATATTTAAAATCTGACATCGAATTCGTGTTTAGTTATACCAAAAATCTTCAGAACTATTTGAAATTTAGATGTTTGTAGTAATATTCTTCTATATTATCGAAGTTTTATCTGTTCCTATTTAGTTTTGGAATATCGAAGATTTCGCCATACTCAGAAAATTGGATGAACGATTACTAACAGACACAAAAGAAGATTTAAAGAATCTTTTAAATTATTTTTAAAGGGGAAAAATAGCACTTTCAGATGCAATATTAATCTTATGGAAAAAAATTAACTCTTGATGTTGCATAACCTCAAATGCAGTTAAAAAATGGTTTTTTTGCACATTACGGTTAGAATATCTCGAAAACCTGACGTGCAGGGTCAATTCTGAGACCGGATTCGGTTTTAGCACGTTGAAAACCTTTGGAAAAGTATTGTCTGATTCTTGAAAAGTAAATTTTGTCGGCCTGTGTTATTTTTTAGTATTACAATGATTGTAGTGAAAAAATAACTTATATTACAAGAAATGGAACTAATTAACACTAGAACTACCGACGGGACAAATTGTCCGGCCGCGCATGTTTCTTCTAGTGTATTTTCCATTAAGGGAGTCTTAAATTATAATGATGACTGGGTAATAATAAGCACTTTTTTATGTTTACTAACATTTTGATTATTTTGGATTGCTTTTGAAATTGGAAAATTGAAGAAACCGCGTTAAATTAATATCCAATGTCGGTAAGGTAGAAAACCATATTTCCGACTAACAAGGTAAAATTACCAAGAAAACACTGTATTCAGAATGTTTTTAATGCAGAGGTTAGAATTAGTAAAAATAATTGTGTTTTGTTTAAATATACGTTTCTTTAATAAATAATCATTTATTTTTGCTTCTAATTTAATTTTCCATCGTTTCTGCATCCATTTAATTGCTTTTTCTTTCAGTGCGTTTACAAGCTTATGAGAATTTCGGATACCGAAATGTACTTGTATCCGAGATTCTCACGAATTCATTTACCAGCTATTGAGCTTGTAACCGAAATCCGCGGTTCTTGTATATTTTATTTTTTACTGGTATGACTGAAAAATACCATGCCTAGTAGGTAGGCAACCGCACTACCGAGTTGTGCCGTGGGGTACTGAAACAACGATTTTCAATAATCATCTGTTAGGGTAAGTCCGGGGGAGTTGGCCAATTCAAATATTTTATAGAATTTGCTGCTAGGTATCGCTTATTAAAGAGATTCGTGTGTTCGATAAAAAAACATTAATTCTGTTGCAAATGACATTTTTTATGACATATATTACAACAAGACACTCCAAAAAAGATTTTCAAATTTAAATATGATCAAATAAAATAATCACTATTGTGTAATTAAATCTTAAAAACGCGTATCACATCAGGATTTTGAATAAAGTGGAGGTAAAGTCTCCAAAAACAGTGTTTTTGAGGGCTTTAATTTTTTTTTCCTTAACCAGACGTGCTAGACACTTCTATATATGCTTAAATTAAAGCTTAGATCGTACACTTTAAGACTCATTTACGCAGGATTTAAAAAAATTTGAAAATTTGAAAAAAATGGAGGTAAATACCCCAAAAATCTTTTTGGGTTACTTGAACCTAATTTTTTTTTAAAATTAAAAATTTTTTTTTTCTTGCCCATATGAGTCTTAAAGTGTAAGTTATAAAATTTAATTTAAGCCTATATAGAAGTCTCTATCACGTCAGGTTAAGGAGAAAAAAGATTCTGAAAACCCTCAAAAACAGGGGTTTTTGGAGACTTTACCCCCACTTTACTCAAAATCCTGACGTGATACGCAATTTTGTAACCCGGGATCGTGTTCAGGACACAAAAATAAATTGGAAACCACTCTGATATCTCAAAAAATACCTTTTAGACATGTTGTGTTGGTGAGACAGACAAACAGAAAGCGCTTATCGAAGACTGGATTCAGTGCAATTATTGTCACCTTTGGGTTCTTGAAAATTTCACTGAATTTAATAATAAATGTTCGAAATGTGGCCCGAAGAAGAAAAGAAGACATTAATCACTTTAAATTAAGAATTATGATAAAGCGAAAAGCCAAAGAATGATTTTAAAGTATTGGCCATCTCTCCCGTACGCCTATGACCATCTCCCCCGTACATTCCGGGAGAAATGGCCAAACGTGTTTTTTAAAAAATATTAATTTTAAGATTGTTTACATTTAAAAAATTTATCATTTTTATTATTATTTGTAATGTTTAATGTTTAATTAGCAATAAAAGTTAATACATAAATCACTTTCTTCTTATTTTTACAGGCCATTAAAAAAACTATAGCCAACTCCCCCCGACTTACCCTAATAATTTGTATTGTTAAAAATGCTATTTACACTGTTTTTTGACACAAAAATTAGATGATCTTCCCAATAAAAAAATAATTGACGATTTATCTTCATTTCTTCAAATGTTATTAATTATTTAAATAATTTTTTTATTAATTTAACACCCGTTTATCAAAAATAGTTCATAATATAGGGCTCGTTGGATGCGCATTTTGATAAGCATTGGAATGGTGTTTTTAAAATTATTTTAGAATAATTTTATATGTTCGAAAAATATTTCATTTTTTATTAACTTTTGTTAGTTAATTAAATAATATCTCGAAAACATAAAACAATGCTATCTCTAAAATTTAACCATCGATTTATTATGACTTTAACAATATTCATGATTTTTATCACTTCAAAATGAGGGAGAACATGTTTAAATGTTATAAACAAATTTTATTTTTTAAATAAATTGTTTAAAACTTAATATTTTTTTGAAAAAATAATTTTTGTCTAAAATTTTAAGGTCTTTTGCGTTATAACGAAATTATTGAATTAATTTAATTTATTAATTAACAACCCCTTTTTAAGTTACAAAAAGAAAACCCAACGTTAAAAAATGTCAGACGCCAGCCAATTTTTAAATGGAATTGGCAAACCAGAAAAACCACGAAATAACCCCAAAACTCAAAATTAATCAAATAATCTCAGAGGAGATTCTGTCGAGAACGAAAGTCGCAAAAAGGGACACGACCCTTGAGACACGACACAACAAAATTGGACTTACCCACGTCGACAAATTCACAAAAAGACACTCTGGTGATCCTTCCAAACTCCTTGAATCCAACAAGTCGACCAAAACCCCGCTGTTGTGATGACTCGGAATTGACAGGAATATTTTCGAGATCTGCTCCAATAAAAGAAAACACCCACGTTCACCTTTTAATATTTCCTTTATTTTACAATCCTCAAAACACACTGTGTCACACGACACTTTTATCAAAGAAAACACTCCAAAAATCTCGACACACGCTCTAGACTCTACTCGCTCTCAGTGTACC